GTGTGTGTGTGTGTGTGTGTGTGTGTGTGTGTGTGTGTGTGTGTGCTGTAGGAACTAGAGAATGCTGTGACAGTGGAGAACTTGGAGCTCCAGGAGCAGCAGTCAGACCGCCAGGAGCTGGAGGAAACCCTGCAGAAACTAGAGAAGCACAAAGACAAGCTGATTCAGCAAATAAAAGCTACCAGGCAGCTCTGCTATGAAGAAAGTCAGAAGGTAACAAGTTAAATTCTTTGCTTGTGTGTATAATAATAGTTTAATAAAGTTTTTAAAGATTGTTTCATGGTTTTTTTTTTTCACTTTTCTAAGCAGCTGAATGTTTGTGAAGAGAGGATCATTTGATTTTGTTTGTTCCTTCTAGATCTTGTCTCTACAAGCTGAGGAGGCCCAGAAGGAGAACCAGGTGGAGGAGTTTGAACGAGAACTTGCCCGAGCCAGGTGGAGACTGAAGAAGCTCAGAGAGGAGGTGAAACAAGCTAAGAAGAAGGTGGAGGAGGCTGGAGAGAGGAACACACCCTTACAGGACTCTATCAGACAGTCCTATGAAGAAATCCTGCAGGTACACAGGAAAAGTCTCTCACTAAACCACAGACTCTGCTCAGATCTTTGTCTCTAAACTTTCTTCTTTCCACAAACTTCAAGTGTTACCAAAAGCCTTTCATTCTAGTTTACAAAATAATAATAATAATAATAATAACTAAAACTCCAAACCTCTGACACAAACAGAGCGATACATTCCTTTAACTGATGCTAGGTCTGTTTTAACGAGTCACAGCTGTTCTGGAAGGAGTATAAATGTTTTATTTGATCATTACATTTTCAGACCTTTTAAATTTTCAGAATAAAGTGTTATTGTTCGACTTTCTGTTGCAGGAAGAGAACACTCTGTGTTCGTTGTCAGGAGGTGTTGTCACTCCTGAGAGCCAGCTGGAGGAGTCCACCTCTCCTGCAGACACCACTGAAGAAGACCCTCTTCCTCTGAGGCCATGGGGGAGGAGCCAGTCACTGCCTGCTTATGCAGACCTAATAATGGTAAATCACGTTAATTACACAGTTTACTTAACACCACTTTACAAACTGTATTGAGACTTTTCTTTACTGAAACACTTTAAAGTTAGTGTTTGTCAATGATAAAATTAGTCAGTCAGTTGGTTTAAATTAGAGATGCATGATATATTGTCATTAACATCAGTATCGGCTGATGATGGTCACTTTTTAGCATATCGTATCAGAGAGATAAGCTGACATTAACGTCCGATATTCACTTCCCACTTTTTAGCTTTGTATTTCTGTTTGGAGAGGGGAAATGGTTGATCGAGTGGTCTCTGATCATTAGTGACGCTGCACAGCCAGGAACAACTGAAGCAGAGAGCCATGTCAGTGCTCAGGTCATTTTCTGAAAAAGACACAAGTGTACTTGTGTGTTTGTGTGGGTGGCTGTAGTGGAGGGGTTAGGGGAGTCATCCTAGAACTGGAAGGTCACTGGTTCAATCCTCCGTCCAGCCGTTTCGGTCGTTGTGTCCTTAGGCAAGACACTTCACCCGCCTTGCCTACTGATTGTGGTCAGAGGGTCTGGTGGCGCTGGAGCTGCCCCAGGCCAGCTGTGGCTACAATGTAGCTTACTGCCATTAGTATGTGTGCTTGTGTGAATGTCTGTGAGTGTAAAGCACCTTGGGGTCCAAGTGGACTTAAAGGCACAGTGTGTAGGATTTGTTGTTTTCAGCGACATCTAGTGGTTGAGTGGTTGAATCATCCTCCCTGGTCCTCCCCCCACCCCCACCCC